TCTTTGTCATTTCGTATAGCACTGACCTCTAACCTTTGGTGTAGAGCTTTGGTGCAGTTATAACCTTAGCACTTACTGAAATTCGGGTGCAGATCTATTAAGTTTCAGTTTATCCAGTTATGCCTGGCCTGGGTCTAGCTGTTGTGTTCAGCTCCTTTCTGCTGCAGCCCTTAGAAGTGAACCTGTTGTATCCCTTTGGCATAACAGTGAACCTGTGTTGCCCATCTCTTGTGCCCCTGGCCCAGGGGGCACAGGGGAGCACAGAAGCTCTCCCACACAGTAGCTGGGTCTGGGCTTGGGTTGGATCTGGAGGCACTGCAGAAGTGCTCACTCACTTGGCGGGCTTGGGGGCGGGGGCTCCAGAGGGTTGGAGGGGTCCTGAGGGCATGGCAGAGGGTCTCACTCATGTGGTGTGCCTGAGGTTTGGTCTGAAGGGGTCCCGTGAGCACAAGGAAGCTGGAACCTCCCACACACTCACTGGGCCTGGGCTGGGCTGGACCTGCGGGTCCCAAGAGCATCGCAGGACTTCTCACTCACTTGGTGGGCTTGGGGGTGGGGGCTCCAGAGGATTCGACGGGTCCCAAGGGCACAATACAGGGTCTCATTCACGTGGCGGGCCTGAGTTTTGGTCAGGAGAGGTGCCGCAGGTGCAGGGAAGCCAGAAGATCTCCCACACACTTGCCATGCCTGGGCTGTGCTGGATGTATCTGAGTGTATCTCATGCAAACAAGAATCAGCTAGTTGAAATGGCACCTGCCAAGCACTGGGGCAGTCAGTACATAAACAATGTGCTGCCAGGTGACACAAAGGTTAAACTGTTAAGTGGTTCCTTCTATTTCTTCTATAACAGAAACAAGTCTTTTCTACAATTACAAAATCTGATTTAAAATCAAAACCTGAGTTTTAAAACCCCAGACCATGAGAAAAGTGAAAAGGTAGCTTCAAAAGACGTTGAATTTGTCTGAAGAATAATCTGGGCACTTACTTAGAAGCCCTTCCATAAAATCAATTTAAGTGGCCCGACTGGACTATTGACATTGCTAATCATGACATTCTATTATTCTCTCACTGCATGACAAATAAGTTCCCGCTGAGCTGGAAAATACTATGCTCTTAAATAATTCTGCATAAACAACTAAAAGAAAATTCTGAAGTCAGTGAAGATTTTCAAGATTACTTTTGCAGCACTGCATTGGAATCTGCTTCCCAGTCACTTTCCATAAGTAAATCCCAAGGTCTACTCTGAATTCAAAGTTCTTAACGGAAGGCAAGACCAACCCAGACAAATTTATTATTACCAAACAACTTCTACTGAGCTGAGAACTTCTATGTGTTTATTTGGGTTTCTAGCATGTCAGAAGAGCTTTTGGAAAGGCCCCTTGCTAAGCCCAATGAGCACACATTATAGAAAATGAATATAGAATTCTGACAAAGTAGAAGTACTAAGACCAAGGGCAAAAACCCATACCCAGTGATTATGGATCGCCTATGAATTACTACAGTGGGCTAAAAAATATAGTGTCTAAGATTAGGTTTTTTCTTCCAGAAGCTTCTGGTATTTGCAGAAAGCTGAAAAATGAAGAGAAAAGCATTTCAATTGGAGTCTTTCATATTCACAATACCAGCTTATTTGGGAAACAACATGAACATTTGAAATCTAAAAAAAAGTGAGAAGTTATATATGTAAAATTTCAAGAATTATCCTTACACACATCATGATTAAATTCCTAATGAAAGAGACAGAAAAAAAATGTAAACAGTGTAGGATCTTGTACCTCCTACGGCCCCTCCTGCTTCTACACCAGAGTCAACGTGAGTAAGAAGGCACACGTGGAGCTAACCCCGAGTCTGCTGCAGTGCCCCAATGCCTCACATGGGCTGTGCATGTGCTGCTGGACTGAGTGCGACTCTAATGCATGTGTGTGTATTTTTTTTTTTTTTTAAACAACTTAATCACAAGGAAACTGTGTCTTCTGGAACTCATGTCCTAATCCTCAATAAAAACCCAGCATGTTCATGCAAAGATAACATGTAGGTCTCTAATCCTGCCGAGGCATTTTTCAATAGTAATTCTGACTACAAGTAATTTTTTCACATCAATGGTATGTCAGCTACAGAACTACACTGTACTCTATTCCTATGGAGGTCCCAGATGAGGATAGAGAACCTTTACAGCTTTCTTTTTTTTCTTTTTTGCGGTACCTGGGATTGAACTCAGGACCCTGAGCTTGCCAGGCAAGCTAGAGCTTTCAATGACACAAACAGTCTACTGGGGCATATGTGCTATAGGTTTGACATCACTGTCATAGACAAAGAACCCTGCCCTCTAAATTAGAGTTATTCCCTCAAGTATAAAATCAGAAAGTTGGTCCGCATGGTTTCCAAGTTTCTTGCAACATTTAACCTTCCATGAATCCAACTGTGTTAGCTGTTAAGTGTGCCTAGGTTCTGTTACCTAAAAAAATAATGTGTTATCTAACAGCAGCACAAATTAGCAATCAGCTGCTCAGAGGCTTAGCAAGGTTATTCAAAATTAATGATGACTCGCCTATCCAGGAGGAGGAGGAGGAAGAGAGAGAGGTGAGGAGGACTGGAACAGAGAGAAGAGGAGAAGAAGTTTCACATTAACAGCTTTATATCCGCAATACTGAAAAACAGTCACCAAAATAAGTTAAATTATAGTTCAATAATGGAAACGTGATTAAAATCAGTTTGTAACAAGCATAATTTTAACCCCATGCTCTGCAAAGTGGCTTAAGATGAAATAAACTGTTATATCAATAAAACGTAAATAGAGAAAAAAGAACTGTCAACTGTAGGTAAAATGTTTTAAATTCACGCTAGAGCTTTAGAGTATATGTAAGAGACTGGCCCCTCTCGCCACCACTACCTTTCAACACACAGACACACACACAAACCTGCCCTCACTTCAGGCTTTATTGAAGTGTTTTACAAATCTGGCTGCATGTCAGAATTACATGGGAAGCTTAAAGGATTGAAGAAAATTGTGCTCAATAGATTTGAATTGAAATCTCTAGAAATAGATGGCCTGGGCATTAGAATTGAAATTATAATCAAAAACCTCCAGATGAGTCTAACATGTAGTCCGAATTCAGACCTTTGAATACCAGATATGAGAGAGGAAGTTGGGCAGGGTTTGTTGTTGTTGTTGTTGTTGTTAAAGTGGGTAGACTGAAATAAATGGAAAGGATTTGTATGCTTCACTCAGGAACTATGAAAATTAGAAATCCAGCACCAGAGATACAGCTCAGCAGCACAGTGCCTGCCTGGCAAGCACATGGTACTGAGTTCAATTCCCGGTACCAAAAGAAAAAAAATCAGAAATTCAATCATCTATGAATTAAAATACAAATAAACTTTTCTGCACTTTCTAATGCATTTAGCATAGGGTTTGCAGGGTCTCACTGCACAGATCAGACTTGTGGAGATCCTCCTGTTTTCAGCTTCCCAAGCACTGGGATTAAAGGCGTGCGCCACCACACCCAGTCATTCACCATCTCCGTGCGCACCTGGAGCGGGGCCAGCATGGCATGGGGATCAAACCCTGGTCCCCCTAGTGCTTGCCTAAGATGGCACTTTAGTCCGCTGAGCTATGTGGTCAACCCTCTGCATTTTTAATATAAAAATATTTTCTTCCTAAGCTTTTATTCAATTAGAACCCATAGATGTATTTATATCAATATAGTGAAACAGTGACCTAAGAAAGTTCACTCCCTAATTTTTCTCATGTTCCATAGCACACAGACATGTTTCTAAAAAGCTGAAACTATATTCATCTTATAAAGCTGTACATCATGGGCATACAACAACTTTTATCTGCTCTGTTGTCATAAATTTTTAATTTCTAGCATTTTAAATGATAATTTCACCAGCAATGAAAGCAGGTAAGAGAGGAAAGTATACTTTAACAGCATCAGGAGTAACTAGCCCACTAAAAACATCAGTATTTAAGAAAAGACACCTTTAGAGTCACCTTGGAATGCTGAGTAGATAGTCCAAAGTGACACTCAATTCATCCATATTTGTTTGTTCGAGACATAATGGAATTGTCAGAATGAGGCCACTTCGTCTGTCCTTTCCTCCTATAAGATAAGTTTAACATATATGTTAAGACACCATATGAATAATATATACTTGAATTCAAAGTTATTAAAACAATGACAACTTTAAGTTAATTTGAAAAAACAGCTAATGGCTATTTGTTGTTTATAAATGTTTCTAATAGTAGAGCAAAATTATAGAGAAAATTTCACCCTGGAGTCATTTAATACAGCAGTTATCATCCTAATTTTCTCCCATTTAGTCTGCTTCTCACTATAATCAACTCATCAAACACCTGTTGTTTACCACAACAAGCATTTTTAAGTAAAATAAATTTCCACCCAGCAAGAAAACCTTTAAGTCACAGGACATAAGAGTATAAACATGATATTATATTTGCTAAGTTGTATATAAAATACATTAAAATATTAGGTGTAGAAAATGGAAAAAATTATGAAATCTGTGAAAATTTTGAAGTTTCACAGAAAAATTATACATAGAATTTGTAAAGCAAGTCAAAGAACATTTTGTTTTAAATCCTTCATTTACTTGGTACAGGACCTTGCTATGCAGCTCAGACTGATAGTGATCCTCCTGTACCAGCCTCGGCAGCTCTGGGATTACAGGCGTGCGCCACCATGCCCAGGTTCAGTGGCTGTCACAGGGCCGGCATGGCATGTGGTACCGGGGATCAAACCAGGGACTTTGCACTTGCGAGGCAGGCACTTAGACCACCAAGCTATCTCCCCAGCCGCAAAGAACATTTTGTAATAAAGAATGATCTCTGTTCAATCACAAAGGTCATAAAGGCATACTGTTCATAAGGCAATGAAGACAAACAGCCCTGCCCATTCAGGAGAACCTCCAGGCCCTGAACCAAAGCCCGAAAGCCTGAACCAGAACACATTTTCACTGCATGCATGCTCAGGTCCCTTGAGTCCATCTTAATGTTAAAAAGTGCCTCTGGAGTGCTACTCACTCATCCCTTTTCAAAGTTCCCACACGCCTGACTTTCACACTGAAGCCTATCTTCACACCCAGCTGACATTTACAGCGGTTTTAGAAGCTTAACAAACAACAAATTCTGAAGGAAAAGGATTCCATGTCATCTCTAGAAATCTATCACTAAAAGCTGGAAGATGTTCAATGAAAAAGACTGACTAAAGTGAATGTTAGAGGCTTAGCAAGGTTATTCAAAATTAATGATGACTCACCTCTCCACCAACTAGAGATGACCCATCCTTCATCAGATATTCAACTACTTTAACATCAGCAAATGGTGATCTCAGAGGGCTCAATTTATTATTAATTCTAACCAATAAGAGAATTTTTTAAAGTATTAAATAAAGAAGCAATACTAGTGGAATTCACTTTCCTACTCTGTCCTTAATAATCTATACTAGGGAAATATTCCAATTTAACAGAAACATGTAAGACATTCTGAAGAAGGAACATTCGTCAAGAAAATTATGACCAAACCTAAAGAGAATCTTTTAAAAAGACAGACAATATGGTCCTGAAAAACTCTAAATTGGGAGGGCCACAGTGCCTACTTTAACACATGTACAGATTTACCCCACAATCTGAATTCCAGGAGATGCGATTCATGTACCATACCATTCCCTTTACCCTAGCAAGGATCTCCCAGCCAATACAGAACTCTTATAAATTCAGAGCTGCATAGCCAGTTTCAAACAGCAAAAGCAGTGCACCTGACTCTTCCTAACTCTGCCAGGGCGCTGCGACTTTCTCACAGGAAGATGAAAGCACAGCGAAGGGGCAGGAGAATAAATTACAAAATAAATTGCAAAGCAAAACCAAATTACTCCCAATTCCAGAAACAATAATTTAGGCACGAGTTAGTGAATTACTCGTACTTAATTTTTATAAAAAAAGAGAAATCATGACATCTAACCTTCTAGATGTTATTTAAATCAAATTACCAGACCAGAATAAAAATTGGCCTGTCAGGTACCAGCAGTGTTAGCTCACACAACTATCCATTCTGATTAAAAGAAAGACCTTTTAAAAACTCTCAGAAAAAGTAAAAGTGATTTCTGTCAAATTCTCACAGAAATTTAAACAAGCATATATATCAAACACTTCCAACTTGAGAAAGACATACCTGACAGGAAGGCTAGTTTTTTCTTCAGAATGGGTAATATTACTGAGGCTTCCATTTCACCCCTGTCAGTGTCCTCACTGCTGAAAACAGAGAAAGTTAAATGTCAACTACAAGAAAACAATTATTCTATGAAATATGTATTTATGATGGTTTATCCCCAGGGCTTCTCAACCTGAGAGCTGCTGGCATTTTTGAACCAGACAGTTCTCTGGTAGGGAGCTGTCCTGTGTGCTGTACTGTGAGCAGCACCCCTGGCCTCTACCCAGGAAACAAGAGCACTTTTCCCTCCAGCTTTTGACAGCCAAAATGTCTCCATTCGTTGCCAAATGTCTGGAAGGCAAATCGAAGCTGGGTGAAAATCGCTGGCTTAATTGTTTTTCAGAGCAATGCTCCTGGACTAGACTATTGCCTAGTACACAGCTGTAACTCAACAAATTATTTGTTGAATAATCAATTAATCAAGCAAGCAGCCCACTTTTCATTGCTTCCTTATTACACAGCTTAATCTCAAGTATGACTCCTTCTGTTCTGTATTAAATAGAATTCTCTGGTTTCTCATACTTTTGCTCCCCCATAACACATGGTGACAGTTTATCCCCCTCCTCACATTTTTGTTTTAAATTCTTCAGGGAAAAATCTGATTAGCTCAGTACATTGTTTCGTGCCAAGCCACAATTTATTATTCATGGTTATAGTAACCAGGCCCTCAGTTGTGGACCGGCATTATGGCTAAATACAAAAGGAGAGTGCTAACAGTGGGAGTTAGCCACAGTTTCCCTTAAAGAGGAGTCTGGCACAGTTCACATTCAGAGAGGTGGCCCAGCTAGTATGGCACTAAAATGAGATCTGAGGAGAAACAGGACCCTTAAAACAAAACAAGCTGGTGAGGTGTTACGCACGTGATCCTACCTTCTCAGGAGGCTGAGGCAAGAGGACCACAAGCTTGAGCTCGGCCTGAGCAGCTTAGTAAGACCTTGCCTCAAGATAAAGATAAAAATAAAAAGGGCAAGTGATGTAGGTCAGAGCTCCCTTAGTTCTACCGCCAGTACCAAAACCAGAAAAAGACAACCAAAGGTGCAGTCATACATCCTCTTACGCTTACCCTGACATCTGAGGGCCTTCCCCCCATCTATCCCTTCCTCCTCTGTTGAGTCTCACACCTGCCAACCATCGCAGCACAGGGCAGGGCTTGAGGTGCGCTGTGAAATGTTACTATATTAGTGAAAACACACTCTTGAAATTTTCCAGCAGAGTACAAAATGAAACTTCCCATCAAGGCCTTTGCCTTACGCGTCCAGCACACACAGACACTCCAGGCGCCACGCTACCAGCGGGGGCCAAGCCCTCATGTCAAGCCCTGCCCTGCCAAAGACACAGTCTTTCTTAAAAAAGATCCAGGTTAAAAAAAAAAAATGCAGCTTTATTATTGGCAGATAGTAGCTAGTTAAGCCAGTATCTTATTTTATAGCTTTTGCATTGTACCTACAATGAAAAGCCCACTATTTATACCTGTCTACAGAAAAAGACTGGTAAGCTGGTATCTTTTCAAATTTTATTCTTTAAATATGTGTAATTTTGTTTTGTTCTATATTAGCCCAGCCTACAATCTCGTAGTAAAGAGGAACAAAAATCACATTTGTATTTTTTATCTAAAACTAACAGCATTTCATGTAGCTAGATTAATATACTGACTTGATGAATATTATCCAGATTATTGTCTAGAATGCCAATTGTAGCTAAATCAGACAGAAGTGTGACGACGTGGACACCCCACATGTACTTGCGAGTGGCATCTGAAGTGAGTCTTGCAAGACTATGCCCTTAAGTTTTTGACACTAATGCTGGTACTTCATGCCAGAACTGAGGACGGAGATTTGGAGAATGGACTGGTGCGAGGAAAAGCTCCGCATACTGTGAGAAGCATGTCGGCAAGAAGCTGGTAATATAGCTATGCTGCACTCTTGAGTCACGCTAAGGCACCAGCACTTTAGCACAGCAATGCTTTTCCACCATCAGTGTAATGCCAACACAGTCAGAAGGGCAAATACCTATGCATTATTATTACCTAAGAGGTTCTGACCTCGTAGAAATGCTGAAAGCTAGAAACAAGCACTAATCTAGGCAGTCAACAGGATGCTCCAACAGAAGAACTGCAACCTCAAGGATTTCGTTACAGAAACAAGGCTATAACTTCCTAGCCAGGCTTTTCATGTCTGGTTAAGAGGACAAAACCTGAACTGCTTTTAATTCCTCGCCACATTTTGGTCTGTGCCTCCAATCTGTTCCTTAAATCTGTAAATTCAGTAAATTCTGAGGTCCTGGGTTCAAGGCAAAAAGAAAAAGAAGAAAAACGGGCCTATTAGATCAAGGCATGGCTGATTCTGGACATACCTGGCATTCAAAGCTATGTGATGAATTAATGGATAAATGAACAAACACTAAGCAGGAAAGCAAAAACGCGTAAGTTAGAAATCCTAACATTCATTGCAACAATCTGGACCCGTGGCTTCCTCAAAGTGGTCTTTCTGCTGGGAGAGCTTCCCAGGATCCAGCAGCCACAAAAGGGGCTGCACACTGAAGAAAGGACCATTCTGCACAAGACCCGGTGGGCAGCAATGAGTGCTGAGGACAGGCTGCCGACAGAGGGCGGTAGAGGGTGCCCCAGCAGCAGACCAGCAGCAGAAAAGGACAATTGCAGGCCTTTTAATCAAGGCTGAGCAAATTACATTTCAAAAGAGATTATAATTGATGATATGAGTTGGTGCACTGGAACTCCTCTCTCAATAAGTATAAATCTGCCAATTTACTTGGAAAATTCAGTTAGATTCTTCCAGGAACAATTTTTAACCCTCAGGCCATTAGGATTGCCCATGGCTGACTAAATCAGCTCTAATAAGCCTGTATCATGGAGACACAATGGCAATGAACAAAAGCAGAACACAGGCTCCTCAGCCTTTCACTTCCAAAAGAAATTATTAAAGTATAGCTACTCTTAAACAAAGATTAGAAATACCTTTGGCTTGGTTGTGACAAGGTAAGAGCAATGGTACAGACTAAATAAACATCTTGGCACACACATCTTAAACATCACTGCTTACCAGCTAGGTTCACCACTCCACACATCCACATATAAAGTTATGCAAAAAGCGGCATCACTCAGTTCTAGGTTACTACAGCAGCAAAGCCACAACAGAGGAAAGTTCTGTAATTGTTGTGTTACGGCAGGTGCCTGCGTATCACTGGTAAGTCGGGTTTAACAACAATACTGACAGTTTAAAATGGAAGAGTAAGAATCCTCTAGATAGATTTAAAATGAAAGGGACAAAACAACAGCCAACTTTCACAGTAGAGATCTACCCCAAACAAATCAGACTTTCTTTTTCTTTTATGTTTATTCATATTCTCATGTTTTGGGTACTAATCACTGAACTCAAGGCCTTGCACTTGCCAGGCAGGTGCTGTGCTGCTGAGCTGTAGCTCCAGATCAAAACAGATTCAAAGCTGAAGTATCATAAAATGGCTGGGTGTGGGTCTCTCCAGAAAAGAAAGCAGGTCCAGCCGCAGTAACTGCCAATTCCCATTACAGTACTGTATCTGATTTCTAGATTCTCTTCACCTACTCTAATGTATCTTTTTTCTTTGTCAGAATTTCTCTCGGTCATCACCAAACCTCTTCTTTCCAGATCTTCCTTCTAGAAAGAAGTATGTACCCTCTGCATAGACATACATGCCTTCTACTGAGCTAAACTCAGATCAAATCCAACACTCTGGACATTTAGGTTCCAATGCAGCTGAACACAGGTTCAGATGTTCACAAGGTCCTTAATTCCAAGAACTGGCATGCAAAATTTTACTGTCTAATTGTCTGTATGGCAAATGCTTATATGAAAGATGGTAGATGCCACAAAGAGTACTTTTGATCAAATAAAATACCGCAACCATAACATGAATCTTCGTTTCTATAATGTAAATACTTGGTATGTACCAAATACCACATTGGAAAAAAAAGTTTTCAGAAAGTTTTAAAGTAATTAAAAAACAAAGTTACCAAAAATCAAAACTACAGTATTGCTCCTAAGGCAAAAAGAAAACAGTGGAATATGTGATAGTTACTTTCCATCCAACTAAAAGTCCCATTTTTTTGTTTTGTTTTGTTTTTTTTTGGGGGGGGGTGTTGCTGAACCGGGGATTGAACTCAGGCCCTTGCACTTGCCAGGGAAACACTTATTCCACTGAGCCATCTCCCCGGCCCCTAAAAGTCCCATTTTTAAAGACAATGAGAGGCTGGGGAGATGGCTCAGTAGAATAAGTGCTTGCCTGGCAAGCGCAAGGGTCTGAGTTCAATCCCCGGTTCTGCAAAAAAAATAAATAAATAAATAAAATAATAAAGACAATGAATGTAATGTATTTTTGGCATAAAACTAACAAGACAACACTGAATACACTATCTGTTATTAGCTTGTTCAATAACTGAAGTATTGTTTCAGTATTACATGGAACAATGTGACACAAGACACACATGGAACATGAAGTATTAACTGAATGACAACACCTTTTATGATGCACTGAGGCAACACTAATTAGCTTTCCCTAGTCAAGAACACCCCCACTGAGGTTGCCTCTGACGTGGATTCTCTTCCCAAGAATTGTCCTCTCAGAAAGGTAATTTAGTGTGGCCTAAACCTCATGATCCTGTAGAAAGGATGCAACTCCCAGTCAGCCACTGACTGACTTGGTATTTCTGGAAATTTCTTTAGCACTTTTATGGACATAATCTCTGAACCTAGTTCACTGGCTTGAGGATTAAGTGAGTTACCTTGTATGTACACTGTCTAGTATACTGCAGGGTAGGAAACACACAATAACGGGCATCCGCTATGGTAGCTACATTTTTCTTCCTCCACTAACTACTGACTTACTAACTTACTAGTTTACTATCACCTCCTCTCCAAGGAGACTACAGGAAAGGCAGGCCCACTAAGGCTATAGAGATCCTAGAACAAAGTAGTGCTAACACTAACACAAATAACATAATTTGATACTTTTTTATGCTCCAAGAATATTATTTCCTCTTCAT